AGGCCTTGAGCAACCTAGTCTAGTTGAGAGGCATCCCTGCCCATGGCAGGGAGGTTGGATTAAATGATCTCTAGGGTCCCTTCCAACCTAAGCTATTCTATGATTCAGCCTATAGCCTTGTATATGAGGCCTGTTTGGATCAAAGTTACTGATGTATCTAAAGCTATTTTGGCAAGTGACTTAAGATGAATCTCCTAGTTTTTGGCACACAATATAATTTTGATTACTGTAATGTTCATCTGATCTTAAAATTTATGTAGGTATTGAAGTCCCCATTCTGTTTTTCTTAATCTTGAAATAAATGGTTATCTCTTAGATGCCACTATCATGATTCTATGATCTCTTAAATTTAAGTGTCCAGTGTAAATGAGGGCATTCTTTAATCTTTTATTATTTTAAAATGTCTCAATATTTTATTATATAAAAATAAATGCAATTTAGTTTAGAGTACTGAGATTGAGACAAAGCAATGCCTATATTCACAATGAAGATGTAGAGATGAGGCTGGGAGAAATTGTGTCTACTTGGGCTTGCAATTACCTGGGTGCCTCTGTGTTGCCTTTTTAGCTTTTGCATGTTTCACAAAAGCATTCCTAAAAAATGTTTAACTCCTCAATAATTTGCCGGTTAAAAATAGTTCAGTAATTTGAGAGGATTGTTTTCAGCAAAGTTGAGCTCCTCTGCTCAGCTCATTTTTTTGGTAAAAATTAAGTGCTGTAATTATTGCTATTGTTGTTGTACCTGTTCTGTGTGTTTTAATGCTTAGGGTGATATTCACACCTAAATAAGGCTCTATTTCTCCTCATTGCAAAGACATTGTTGACTTTAGAGGATGATTCAGAACCCCAAAATTAGGCTTTTTATTTTGAAATTATTTTAATCAGGGTAGTCTTCTGGACATCTGTCTTTTTCTACTATTTGTAGAGGAAATATAGTGAAGTTTAAATCCCATCCCTACAGCTGGAATTCATCTTGCTGAACTTCAGCAGTGTGAAAGTTAGGTGCTTTAAGGTGGTTATCTAAGCTCTTTCTGTTTACTGGGGAAGGAGAGGAGATGATGATGCTCCAGGCTGCAATTTCCAGGCTGAGATTACTTGCCTTTGAAGTTCTTTTGCTACAGTGAGAGGGAGTTTAGGTGATGAGCTTGGCACCTCATGCCTAAATTTAAGAAGGCTAAAGAGAAATAATGATTTAAAGGACTAAATTTCCCCTTTCAGGTTCTGCTTAGCTGATATCTTGGGTTTCCTATGTACAGCTGTTGCACTGAAAAGTTATGGTGCTTATAGGAATACTGCTTTTAACCTACAGCTGAAATTTTACGGTTGATCCCTCCTTTTTGCTTATGCTGTCATAATGAATTAAGGGATAATAGGAGTGTGGATCTTACAACACAGTTTAGACTGTTGAATGTTGAAATCTGGCTCTATGAAAAGCATGGGAGTGGCTAGCAGATAATAAATATTTGAATTTTCTCTGTCACAAGCTTGACCTGGATTTTTGTGCATGTGGCTTCTGATTTAGTTGTCCTAAGCAGAATTAGTTTTGATGAGTTGTGTAAATTAAGGGAGACTCAGTCATTTGGAAATGCTGTCTGCATGATGGTCTATGCCTTTGAATTAAAAAAAAAAAAGTAGTCTTTCCCTCACCCTATTAACATTAAATATCAAGAGATGTATTTTGCTGCTGGTACTTACTTTCAGTCTTGCCTTTTTCAAGCATCTATTGCTTTAGAAATCAATTAAAGCTTACCTCTAGGGAAATGCAAGTCTTCCAGCTACCTTGGCTTCTCAAAAGACATGTTTTTTCTTAAATATTTTATTTAAATTACTGCTCAGGGAACCTCCTAATTGTGCTACATTAAATTTTGATTCTGGCATGGTTTGTTTTGATGTCTGCTTTTCTATCTGTTGAAATCCTGTTACAGTCATTAATTACAAGGAGTGGCTCTATTGTAAAGAAAAGATGATGTTACAACTGTGGTTGTAGTTAATCCTTTTACCTTTTAAACCTGAAAGCATTTTTTCACTTATTTCCTAGCTGAAGCCACTTGTCCTTATTTCTTGGTACCACACATTCACTTTGCATCATATCATCAGATGATTGTGTAGTTGGATGGGGAAGTATTATTTATTTCCAAATTTAACCTCTCCTGTCCTATCCTTGTAGCAATGAAAAGGAAACAGGCTTCTGGGAATGGAAGATTTTTTAGAGGATTTTTTTTTAAATATATATGCTTTCACTGCAACTTTCATCTAATTGTAGTTGTCTGCAACTTATCCATTAGTTTATTTATTGTCTGGTTTGTTTTTTTTTTTTTTTTTTTAAAAACACACATAGACATTTATTGCTTATTTATTCTTTTATACATGCTGGGAATCCTAGGATTTGTTGCAGCATCTTTGCCTCATTGTTCATTTACTGGTGATAGGTATGGATCACCCTGATGTCAGGGCCTTTTGTTTCCAAATTTGATCATTGGATCCTTCTGGCAAGGGTGAGAAAAGCAAAAATACATCTCTGCTGTGGTTGCTTTGTAAATAGGTAGTTTGTTTTTTCCAAATTGTTAAATTGGTGGCTATTACACTGATGAATATAATTACAGTATGGAAATTACATTGAAAATATTTTTGTCTGATGTATACTAAATTTAAGCTAAGTTATAAGGTGTGCTGTTTGGAAGTGTGGAAGATACAAGAGTGGAGCTACAGATAAGCTTATGCTTGTGTTTTCTACTGATGAAGACTTTCACACAAGTTATTTCTATGGGTAGGTGATGAGAACTATCACTCTGCATGTATATACATTTATTATACATTTTTGCATGATTATACATGTGGGAGTGGTACAATTTTGACTTGAGACTATTGGTACCTTTTGTCCAAATAGATATGTCTACACAAGTAAAATTTTATCTAAAATCAATTTTGCTTCTGCTTTTGGAGATCTTAGTATGAAGCAAGAGAAACAAAGACCTCAAGGAATAGTACATAGCTCCTGAAATTTTAGATAACCTATTGAAAAGATGGTCAAATAGTCAATATTGTACTTGACCCTCGTATCTTCTGCACTCGACTGTTTATTTTTAAAGATCACATTATATGTGTTCATACTGAACTCTGATGAAAAGACTGAGAGAAAATAAGCCTCTCATGAGTCTGGTTGTAACTTCATGTAATTTAATCATGGGCTTTCACAAATAATTAACTGAACATCAGCCAGCTTAATTTTGAACTTGGTCTTCCATTATTTTATAAATACCTTTTAGAAAGACAAAGATTGCCTTTCAGTTAATTATCAGGACTTCTTTTCCAGTCGTAATCAGCCTTTCATGTTGTGAACAGTTTGGTCTTTAATACATTGGCATTTAACTACCCATCTATTTTTGTTGGATCTGTTTTAAGTTTGTAATAACACTGTTTTATGAAATTATTGTTTTGGAGGCAGGTCTGATCAGAAATATTTTGTAAATTTCTTCATATCTTTTTGGAAAACTGATCTTTAGTATGACTTAAGCAATATGGTCACTCTTTAATGCAGTATCTTGCTAATCACAAAATGGGTATTTCTTAAAATAGTGAGCTGAATTATGTTTCAGGGACTAAGTTACAAAAAACTAAACAAAGAAGCAAACAAACAAAAACCCCAACCCTAAATCAAACACACACCCTAAAAAACTCAATAGAAACAGCTTTTCAGGGATCTAAATTTGAAACTTTTTGTTCATTGTGTTCTTTCTGTCTTCCACAGACACTTAACACTCCTAAAATAAACTAATATTTCCTGAAAAATTCTTTAGTCACTTTGTAATTCTGAAGGTCCTATCTTCTTAAATTATTAGTTTATGATAATTTATATGGGATAAAATAACACTTTCTACATATCATACTCATAACAATGTCCTACAGATACTCAACTGCCAGAACTTCACTGGACTTAAGGAACTGCAGTAACAAAGCAGCTGAGCTTTGGCCCAACCTATTTTTCTATTTCATACTCGTTTTTGTGGATGAAGTCTTTGGCCAAAAAAGTTTTGATTCTGCCATTTGGGGAGTGGGTACTCAAACTATTTTCATCTGCTCTGAGTTGATAAGCTATATTTTATTTGAGGCATTTGAGTTAAAATGTGCGTCCTTTCAGAATTATTTATCCATTCTCTCTTTGCTTTCACATTAATCCTTGTTTCAAATTTGACTTTTCTGATCCTCTTCTGTTTCTAGCATGCTTTTCATTTATAAGTTATTTTCATTCCTCAGAAAGAAAATAATCCATCTTAACAAAATAGACCAAAAATAGCTTTTTGTTGTTCCTCAAGAATTTCAGAATCATGTCTCTCTTTCCTTCTTTCCCCTTCACTTTGGTGGCCAAAAATGCATATGGTAATCAGATTAAAAGCATATTTATCACTGCACATTATGGTTTTATTTGTTATTCTTGATCTTCAAAAAAAACCCAAATAACCAAACACCAAAACACATTGCCATTTTGAAAAATTCCCCTGTCCTTGACAGGTAAATGTTATGAAAGTAAAGTTGCCTAACGTTAAATTTATTGTCATTGGGTCAGTTATATAAAAAAATTAGTTTTATTCAATCAACCCTAAAATAATGTAAGCTGTCATTTGAGTTTTGTAAAATTCTCTAGATAAATATCTTGTCTTGCCAAATTTCATGTCTTATAACTTTTATTTTAAACTGAAGGTTTTATCCTTTTAAGATTCTAAGTGTAATATTGTTGGATATGGAGATGTTTGCGTTCATGTAAAAGATAATACACAACTGATGCATTCATAAGCGTGTTTTTCCTACATGTATGTTTTCTGTGTATGCAAAGGTTAAAATGTCTCTAATCTCAGGCTATGCTCATTACCTGAAGTTTAATAATTCATATAATTTATAGTTCTTTGAGAGACCCGTGTAGGAGATTGCATCAATCCTTAACTTATACTTTTAAATGTCTTTCACAGTATATGCAAACTTTTAATTCGTGTTGCTTTTCTGCAGATGGACCTCCAGTTGTAGCTCATTATGATGTATCAGACACAAATTCAGACCCAGAAGTGGTAAATGTGGATAATCTTCTGGTGGCTGCAGTAGTTCAAGAGCACAGTAATTCTTTAGGAAATCAAGGCTCAGGACCTACCTGGAGAACGAGAGGGCTGATAGATGATCTGAGTGCTGATACAGGTTTGTTTAAATTCCCCCTCTCTGATGTTTTTTTCCACCATCTTGTCAGTGTTTCTCCTTTTCTTGCTTTCAGTATTTTTGTAGTTTATATAGCTTTAAAAGCTCCTTTTTTGGATTTGGCCATAAATCAGTATAGGTGCTTATTAAAAATCTGACATTCATTCCAAGATACAACTGATAAAAATTGACAAGGATTCCTGCAATGTACTTTTTGATGCTAATTTTCTTAAATTTTTTTTCCTCCTCCTTTTCCCTCTAATTACTTCTTGGAACTTAGGTCTGGGGTTTTGATGGCTTTTGTTTGGGTTTGTTTTGTGATTTGTGGGTTTGTTTTTTTGTTTTTTTGGTTTTT